CCTGTTAGCTTTAGTGTTAGCCCCAATGCTATCACCATTTTAGCTCAGCGCTACACATTCTCCTCTCATCACTGAGGTCCTCCATCCACATGAGGAGAGGGGAACGAAAAATGACAGCCTGCAACTGAAAATATGGATGGAGGATCACAGTTTAGCTTGTTTGTAGCACTAGCGCTGAGCTAATACATATAAGGCAATATAGCGTTGGTGCTAGCGCAAAGGCTAACAGGCTAAGCTTTCCGCATTTAAAAGAGCCAGTCGTCAGATATTGTCAAAGATTAACCTTCAGGGTGGATATAGCTCGCTCACACAGAGGGCCTATCCACGTCATCATTACCCAGAATGCTTTGTGTGTAAATAAAATGGCTCCATCCGTGTTAAAATATATCTTGAAAAATTTACAAAACTAAAATGCCTACAGTATTTTATAGTCTTTATTTTACAGTTAAAATATATGTTTATCAAATGAAGTCTAATGTTACAACTAATCAGGGATCCCTTTAAGTGTTTTTCTATAAATGTTTTTGTTAGCAACATATCTCTGTCCCTACAGATTTCATCTCAAACTTTCAGGAAATAACCACTGGATGTACAACACATAAATGTCTAAATTTCTCTTGGTAGTATAGCTTAGAGACGAGTCACCACATGCTGTGAGCGCTGATTGATCACATAAAATAAAGCATAATGCATTTTTATGTTTAATATTTGACCAAAACAACTCAGTCATTTCTCATYATAGGATGATTATTTTATCTAAAACTCTGGCACGACAAGTGAGACACTASAGATGAATCAGCTGCTCTTTTTAATCATTGGGAACTGACTGTAGTACAACTGCGCATGCGTGCGCATGTTACGGCCGGCAGACCGGAAGACGTTCGGAAATTTCGCAACGAGGGGACGCATCTCTTCGCTACATATTATCTCAGTGTTATCAGAAGCGGTAGCTCTCTGGTTAACGTGTAACCTCAGAGGTGACTTTATAAAGCCTTTTCTTCCTTATCCAGCAGCATCCCCCCCGGGAGGAGAACCGAGGTGAGACCRCTTTGCTTTTATAGCATCTTGGCATCAAGCTAATCGTCGAATATGAAGCTGCAGTACAAAACTCGTGCTGTCACACACAGAGTAGAGTTGCTTGAACTTGGTTCGATACCTGTAAGCTTGCTGGTGTTTGTGGTAAACTAAATGTTTTCCCTACATTTTAAGTAAGTTTAGCCACGGTTATCTTAATATTAACGTTGTGTTAAGTCAGCTAGTTCACGCAAATTGAAAAGAAATATAAGGAAGAAGCTGCTCATCTGTTCGCGCATGACACATTCACGGACCAGTCGTTTTTTCAACAACTTTCAGGATGAGGAAGTTTATATACCCCACAGGACATAATTTACATTATTAACATAAAACAAAATTCTTTAAATTTACATTATATACAATAATAATAATAATAATAATAATAATAATAATAATAATAATAATAATAATAATAATAACCGACTACTGTATTCCAAATGGAATAATGGATACTTGAACTGAAATTTTCCTTAAACATTGTCTAATATTTTAACTATTTTATTTTAAGTTTTTTCATTTAGTTGGTGACAGTATCTACAGAATAAACTGTGCTTAAATGAACACACTTCACTAACTTGGTTTTAAGTATTCTGCAGTCAGTGTAGAATAATCTAATCCAGGTTTGAAGAGTCTAAGTGATTTATGTTTTAAACTAGAGCAGATTAAAGAGGCTAAAGGTAGAAGAAAATTAGCAGGAATCACCCTTTAGCCATTTCCGAATCAGAAGCTTCAATCAGTTCGTTGTTTTATAAAGATCAGGATGTTTCTCCACCTGTTGGACTCCTAGAAGTTTTCACTTGGATGTTTTAGGCTTTAGGGGAAGTAGATGTCCAACCATCCATGTGTGTTTCACCTGCTACAACAGACACGAAGAGTCAAGTTATTTTCTTTTAGCGTTACACATAAAACAAATGAGACAACAGATAATATGCATAAGTGGGCAAATAAAACAGAAAGGAGACGCAAAAAGGAATCGTGAGCAGACAAAAGGATGCATTCAGAGGACAAAATTGACACATTTAGACAAAAAAAGGCATGTAGACTAGAAAGATGGGAGAGAAAACACAAATGGATCAAGTACGCTGAAACATTTCAAATAGCAGATTTGGGAAAAAAAATGCATTTGTAATTTGTAAATAAATGCAAATATTTCAAGAAGCACAAACTTGACTAAAAACAAAATTCACAACTATCACGTCCTTAAGGAGCTGAATATTTTGACACCTGAACGGCTGAAATAGCTGAAGGTATGCTGAAGTAGTAATAAAACAATCTAAACAGGAAAACATCCAGTAACTAATAGGGGTGTAAGAAAATATCGATACACTGAAGTATCACGATATTTCAT